CCCACACCTCAGCCGCACTGGAACTGCTGCAGGCAATAACGCTTCGCAGATTTGCCACAGAGTCGGGGGAAGAGCGTTGGCGTACGCAGGTTCGGCAGTGAGCAGACCAGCCCCAAGTCCCAGAGCCACACCTGCAGTCTTCTGATGCCGCTGCCCAGCACAATGCGAGGTGTCGTTTGCCTTACGAAACCAACCCCGACCGGCCTTTCAGCTGCTCTTGCTGAGTCTCGACTACTGAGTTCTGGGTCGTCTGCACCTTCGCTAACTCGGTGCTGGTGATGGGTGGTGTCGTTGCAGCAGCTCCCGGCCTTCGGCGCGATGAAGCTTGTGCCAGCCGTAAATCGCAAGAAGCACCTTGGTTGGCACTGCATCAAGAATTTTCAGGCATGGCACGTCGTCGTCCATATCTTTCCATAGATAGCTTCATGGATTGCAGCGCAATGCCACCGGGGATGGCACAAAGCTGCCCCGAGAAGGGCGATGGCCAGAATAGGGCGTCGGGCCATGGTATCCTCGGAACACAAACTCAGGCACATGCACGCGGGTCTACGTGGCCTGCATTACCAAGCCTGCTGTTCAATCGTCACTGTCGACAAGGCATTGTGGTGCCAGGTCACCAAACCCTCCGAAACCATGGTCATAACCTGCCACCAAGGGGCGCTCGGCTAGCTCCGTGGGGGGCGTGTGGATCTTCTCCGAGCCAGAACTGCAAGCTGCAGAACTAGCGTCTGTCGTAGAGAAAGGCAAAGCTAACGGGACAATCGTGCTGAACGGCAGTCTGGAAGAAATTGCGACTTTTTCCACCAACGTGCCCGTCGCCTCCCTCCGAAGGGGTTGACATAGCATCGCAAGCGCATAACTCCAGGAAAAGCAGCAGCAATCAGAAAGCTAGTGAAGAGTCAGTGAGAGGGATGCGGCGGCGCCGCGGCCTGATTCTTCCTGTCGGGCATACGTTTTCCATGATGCGTTCATATTTCATAGTCATAGTCCCTTAGTGGCTGTGTTAATCAGCTCGCTTGCCGTTCTTGGCATGATCCTACTCAGCACTTTTGTGGCTTTCGCCTTCAGGCCAGTGGCCGCTTGGGAAAAAAGCTGTCTTGCAGCTGCCCTGGATTAGGACAATTATATCAGCCGATTTTTCAGGCCAACTCAGCGAGCCGTTTGCGCAGCGGATCATGCAGATCACCTAAGATGCAAGATTCTCCGTGATTGAGGCCAGCAGGTAGTGGTGCGATGACTACTGCCAGGACACTCACTCCGGGAAGGCCTCCTGCAGCCGGAGCAGGACAAAGCCCAGGATGATGCCCTCAGCAAGCCATCACCGCTGCGTATGTCCCAATGCTGTATCGGACTGGGCCCAAGTCCCAAATGATGGCAAAGCTGATGGTCACGGAGTACGGGAAGATCTCATCGTCCCACACCTCAGCCGCACTGGAACTGCTGCAGGCAATAACGCTTCGCAGATTTGCCACAGAGTCGGGGGAAGAGCGTTGGCGTACGCAGGTTCGGCAGTGAGCAGACCAGCCCCAAGTCCCAGAGCCACACCTGCAGTCTTCTGATGCCGCTGCCCAGCACAATGCGAGGTGTCGTTTGCCTTACGAAACCAACCCCGACCGGCCTTTCAGCTGCTCTTGCTGAGTCTCGACTACTGAGTTCTGGGTCGTCTGCACCTTCGCCAACTCGGTGCTGGTGATGGGTGGTGTCGTTGCAGCAGCTCCCGGCCTTCGGGGCGATGAAGCTTGTGCCAGCCGTAAATCGCAAGAAGCACCTTGGTTGGCACTGCATCAAGAATTTTCAGGCATGGCACGTCGTCGTCCATATCTTTCCATAGATAGCTTCATGGATTGCAGCGCAATGCCACCGGGGATGGCACAAAGCTGCCCCGAGAAGGGCGATGGCCAGAATAGGGCGTCGGGCCATGGTATCCTCGGAACACAAACTCAGGCACAACATGCACGCGGGTCTACGTGGCCTGCATTACTAAGCCTGCTGTTCAATCGTCACTGTCGACAAGGCATTGTGGTGCCAGGTCACCGAAACCATGGTCATAACCTGCCACCAAGGGGCGCTCGGCTAGCTCCGTGGGGGGCGTGTGGATCTGCTCCGAGCCAGAACTGCTTTGGCAAACCGCATGCCGTTTCGAGTGCCTGCAGCTGGACTTGGCCTTCCATGCGGTGGGATAACAGTTCTAAAGCATTTTCTCCACATGCGAAGCTGAATGTGAAGGAAAAGCTGAATAGAAGATTCGTCGGCACCATTCTGAACCAACTCCTTCCTGTCCACTTGAGCTCATCTTTCTGACAGTGCTCTCCACGCACTGCGTCACACAACTCAACAGTATGAGCACGGTCTGAAACAACACCGACTCTGTTTTGAGTTGTGACCACAAGAAATACCTGCCCACAAACAACCGTCACGCATTAAGCGTAGAGAGTCCTACCCATCTGATCCACGAGCGCATCCAGCCAGCTCTGATCTCAAGTGTGCTTCGCATGTCCGGGCTCGTGGATCATGCTCAGAAAGCTAACATTGTATGCAAAATCAGCGGAGGGCGCCTCACAGTACTCAACAGGAACCAGTGCTAGTGCGAAACCAGCTTCGAGCTTCGGCCTCGGCCTCATCAGACGTATTTGATGCCCACGATCTTCTCTTCTCCGCAAGCGGCTTGCACAATCGCGAAGACCGACTTTTCTCCTGGCGTGCACTCTCGAACCTCGAGCCATCTGAAACTTCAGAATAATCCGAAGCATGAAGGATTCACAACAATGCTGCCTTTGGCGAACTCATCCAAGATTTCCGCCTGGATCTTCTTGTCCTCAGCTGTTGTGACATCAGTCATCAGCCGTTCAACTAGCTCCACGGCTACCAGCTTCACTGCATCGGGCAGGGAAAGCTAGGGCAACTAGGGAGTTCGTGTGGATTGGAGTTGGAGCTGCGGCTGGGGCCGCCAGGCTGGGCTGCGCTGTGTAGTATGCACAGCATAGTGATATGTGTTTTCGAGTCCGAGCACACTCCTTCAGAATATGCACTTGCGCCACGGCGTCAACAAGTGCAAACTGTGGGCAGGGGCCAGGGAGGCAGTGGTCAAGGCTGCAAAGCAGACTAGGACGACAGTCGAGGGTTGCCGACCCGGTATCGAACTTCACATCCCGCTACATCATGAGCATCAGAAGGCGGTCTCCAACACCCCACCTATAATTGTCGCCAGCCGCAATGGACACAGAGATGCGACGAGTGAGATTTTTCAGACAAGAAACAGCACCTCCAATGCCTGGCCTTGCAGCCAAGTCTCCTCCTCCGTGGGCTCGCCAATCTTGATGAAGCAGGGAAGGTTGAGATCGTCCTCGCCAATACGCGAAAGAAGCTCACCCGGGCAAGTTCAGCGTTTCGCGGTTCCTTGGTATCTCCGTTCTCCTGCAGAAGGCTCACCTCTCCTGGCAGAGACAGCAAGAGCTCGCAGCAGTCGCACAAGATTCAAACGGGGACCGTCCTGTGTCAGCATCGGCGTTCAGGACCTGGTACTCGGTACGCTTCACGAACGGCACCTCCAAGTTGTGGGAGACGGGGCAGAGGTCTTCCATCTTCTTACCTCAGCACACCCCGGCATTGCAATAAAAACCTCACAGAATATCAAGGTCATGCAACACCGTCAGCAACACCGTCCGGGCCTGTGAAGATATCAATGGCCACGATGTGGGCCTTTGCGTGCCCGTGCTTTCCGGTCTTGGAGGTAGAGACCTCGACGCACCTTGGCCAAGCAAGCTCTTCGCTCGTTGCCAAGGAGACTCCGAGAGCGCATTTGCAGCACGGGCACTTGCAGGGACGACCCTTGATCATCAGGTGCGAACCCTTACGCACCTCGCCGGCCTGCCAGACATGATGCGCTACAGGGTGCTTGTGCAGTCTCGGTAACGTGGAATTTTAGTGCCTGCTGCGGGTAGGTGTGCGCGGCACCTGCATCGCCGGTCTCGAAATCGTGAGCCTCCTTCGCAGGGCATGCAGAACAAGCAGCGGCTCCAACACAAACCAGCTTTGTCGATCTGCCTCGTCCGCCATGTTGGGGTCTGCCTGTTAAAGAAAGAGGTTCAACGCGCCATGCATAGCCGAGCTTAGCCGAGAACAATCCAAAGCGCCTGCACACCGATGGAGAGATGCCGCGAGGAGGCTGTCTTGAGCAAATATCGGGCGGCCGCTTAAGTTTCAGGCCGCTTGCCCGTGCACTCTACATCCGGCAAACAAATGCGCTGTTGGCCTGTCTTTTTCTCCAAAAGCATGGAGGCTGAGCGACTTTCGCAAATACTCGGCCTTGCGGGCTTCGGGGGCACAGCACTTCATAGCCCGCGAAGCTTACCATGCGCAGCTCACATAGGTTGCCACACTGCCACACTCAGCTCTAGTGCGTTCACACCAGGAACCGTAGCAAAAGCTGCAGACCAAAATCCTGCAAATCTAATCTTGATCCAAGCACTGCAGGCAATTCACAAGACCACCGTCAGCAGATCTTGCACCAATAACTGTTTCATCATTGGAAGCATAAGAGAAGGCTTCTTTGCACCCGTTTCTTTCTCCGCGCTTTCCAAATCCCGCTGGTCTTCCGCTTCAATGCAAGATGAAGCCACCAACAAACAAGGTCAGCACCACTGCCGAAAAGGCCAATCCAACATATTTGGGCCGTGTCTCATGGTGTCTTGAGCATCCGGGTCGCCTTCATACCCCCAGTACTGTCCATGGCGCTGACTCATGCATGGAAAGGTCAGTCCATCCCACGCGAAGTGGGCAGGTCATCCAGCTAATCCATGTGAAGCAAGAATGTTTCCATTGCAGTGTTCTGATGCGTTTGAAGGCTTCACAGGGTTGCCAGACGTGCCTGTGACCATTGCAAGGTAATCTGCAAAACCGGGCACCGACTCTCACGAGCTCTCCGGCCACGCCAACAGGAGCCTGGCGGTACGCTCTCGGTGCGTTCACAGCCACTGCTAGCACTGGCCCAAGATACCTCATCAGACGTACTTGATGCCCACGATCTTCTCTTCTCCGCAAGCGGCTTGCACAATCGCGAAGACCGACTTTTCTCCTGACGTGCACTCTCGAACCTCGAGCCATCTGAAACTTCAGAATCATCCGAAGCATGAAGGATTCACAACAATACTGCCTTTGGCGAACTCATCCAAGATTTCCGCCTGGATCTTCTTGTCCTCAGCTGTTGTGACATCAGTCATCAGCCGTTCAACTAGCTCCACGGCTACCTGCCTCACCGCACCGAAGAAGACTGAAAAAGTGGCAAATCTATCGGGCTCTGGTCAAGGGCTTGTGAAAGTGCAAATATCCACACAACAGAAATTCCTGATCATCAGCTCCAAGTGTCCAAATACCATTACTTGATGCTTAGACTTACGTTCATGCTTATAGAATATATGTGTGTATATAAATACGAAGTTTGTAGTGCGTATCTGGCATCCATCCGCGTTCGGGAGCTAGGGACTTTGTGTGGATTGGAGTTGGAGCTGCAGGTAGGGTTGTCAGGAGCCCAGCCATTTTCGAGTCCGAGCACGCTCCCTGGCAGTTTTTGCACTTCAGGATATGCATGTGGGAAATCGGACGGGGGTGAACGCTGCAAAGCACAGGGCTGCAGTCGAGAGTTGCCGACCCCGCAGAATTCGAACTTCACATCCTGCTATATCATGAGCATCAGAATCCCGCACCTATAATTGTCGCCAGCCGCAATGGACACACAAGTGCAACGAGTGAGAAATGTGCGAGACAGTGTAGTGGTAGCTTGCTCTACATCCCCAATACTCAGACAAGAAAACAGCACCTCCAATGCCTGACATTCCTTCTGCACCGTGCTCTCTGGTCTTGCAGCCAAGTCTCCTCCTCCGTGGGCTCGCCAATCTTGATGAAGCAGGGAAGGTTGAGATCGTCCTCGCCAATACGCGAAAGAAGCTCACCCGGGCCAGTTCAGCGTTTTGCGGTTCCTTGGTATCTCCGTTCTCCTGCAGAAGGCTCACCTCTCCTGGCAGAGATAGCCAGAGCTCGCGGCAGTCGCACAAGATTCAAACGGGGACCGTCCTGTGTCAGCATCGGCGTTCAGGACCTGGTACTCGGTACGCTTCACGAACGGCACCTCCAAGTTGTGGGAGACGGGGCAGAGGTCTTCCATCTTCTTACCTCAGCACACCCCGGCATTGCAATAAAGACCTCACAGAATATCAAGGTCATGCAACACCGTCCGGGCCTGTGAAGATATCAATGGCCACGATGTGGGCCTTTGCGTGACCGTGCTTTCCGGTCTTGGAGGTAGAGACCTCGACACACCTTGGCCAAGCAAGCTCTTCGCTCGTTGCCAAGGAGACTCCGAGAGCGCATTTGCAGCACGGGCACTTGCAGGGACGACCCTTGATCATCAGGTGCGAACCCTTACGCACCTCGCCGGCCTGCCAGACATGATGCGCTACAGGGTACTCGTCGTGTGCTTGTGCAGTCTCGGTAACGTGGAATTTTAGTGCCTGCTGCGGGTAGGTGTGCGCGGCACCTGCATCGCCGGTCTCGAAATCGTGAGCCTCCTTCGCAGGGCATGCAGAACAGGCAGCGGCTCCAACTTTGTCAATCTGCCTCGTCCGCCATGTTGGGGTCTGCCTGTTAAAGGAAGATGTTCAACGCGCCATGCATAGCCAAGCTTAGCCGAGAACAATAATGCGCCTGCACACCGATGGAGAGATGCCGCGAGGAGGCTGTCTTGAGCAAACGTCGGACGGCCGCTTAAGTTTCAGGCCGCTCGCTCGTGCATTCTACATCCGGCAAACGACTGCGCTGCTGACCTGTCCTTTTTTCACCAACTCATGGAGTCCGAACATGGATCTGCACGCTGTTTTTGACAAATTTACCCTTCCGGGACACTCGCTCTCTACTTGGAATGTGTGTGCTCACCCTGGGTTTCGGCACCTTCGTTCCAAAACTGACAAGCGTTGCAGAACATGTTCCCAAAGTCTTGGCAGATTGGAGTCCAACACATAGGAGATCCGAAATTGCCAGCAAAACCCAATGGGAACCTAACCCAACCCGACCTCCAACACTTTCCTGCTAAAGCATTTGCTCTTGACACAATGGCACATACCCGCGCTCTAGCTGAACAAAACATACGATCCACAAGATGCAAAATGGTACATGTAGAGCTAGTGGACACATGACACTGAACACAAAACACAAAACAGAAAATACTGGATCCCGAAACCAACATGTCATCTTGTGTTTTCGCACAGACCTCGTCCCGACGGGTGTAGAGCCCTAGCAAACGTCATCGAACGACATGCATACTTGTTTTTGATTTGCAACCTTGTACGCATCAGCTTGTTATTTTGAATCTACGGTAAACTGTTTCCGTCGTTGAATATGTCAACCGGCCGAGCTTGCTCAAGATGTAAGCCAAACTGAGCTGTTAAGTCCATATCCGTATCCACCCATCCGTATCGCCCAAGCCGTATATATCGACATCCATGCCATGTCCATGCCCCTGTCCATGTTCATATCCGGTAAATAGAAATACATATATATATATATATGTATCTATCCACCTCCATGTTCATAACCATCCGTCCATCCATCATCCCTCCATACCCATCCATATCCAGCCATATCAACCCGGCCTCTCTCTTGCACGCATTAAACGCTCAGCTTGCAGCTAGCATCGATTTGCCAGGAAAGCTCTTGTAGAGTGGAGTTGGCACTGAACGAACATACAGTTCCCCAAACCCAGGGTTCGAACATATAGAGTTCTCCAAACCCGGGGTTCGAACATCGAGTTCGAATTCCAAGTTGAACCTGAGTTTGCGAAGTTCGAACCCAGGCCCGCGTTCACGACGGTGAAGAAAGTCAGCGCTGTGCCTTGCAGAGGCGAGAGCGGAAGGTGTTCTTCTTCTCTTCCAAGCATCCTCCGCGAGAAAAAAAGAGCGTTTCCTCGCTTTGCGCAACGCATGCTTGGCAAACTCACAGTATTCTTACTGAGAACGCTTGTTGTGAGTTTGTTGTTTTGGTCGATAGTGTTTTCGGAAAGTACTTGAGCTTGCATTGCTTCGTCCTGCGCTGCAAGCTCAAACTGTCGACCCGAATCGCTTCCGTGTAGCTTGGCACAGCTCGCGCTGGCTCGCTCATGGGCCCTGCTTAGACTTGGTTCGTGCTTTCAGCGCCAGCGACACAGCAGAACCGCTCAGCACTTTCTTGCGTCTCGCTGCCACCTAGGCGCACCTGCATGCGTTCAGTTCCAAGTCGAACACTTGGCTGGCGAAAAGAACATCTGGGCTGACGTTCAGCCGCGGCCGCTTACCTTCATCAAGCATCGCCAGAGATCGAACATCGCATTGGCTTTGCACAGCTCGCATCTGCTTCGGATACAGTTTCACTCGATGCGAGGCACTGCGATGCGCAGTTCGGAGCAGGGCAAAGCGTTGCCGAGTTCCATTCCCCCTCTGAAGTTCGACTTCAGCATCTTCGGACAAACTCCCCTCGCACGAGGATGGAGAAGTAGACCTGCCGAGACGGAGCGCAAGCCGTGCTACAGTTGCAAATCCGCTGGTTGTGGCATTTAAGGTGAGCGTGCAGCTGCTTTGGACAAGACTTCTGGCTTTTCAATCTTGCGTCTGCATGATGCCCAAAACTGCGGGAACAAAGGCAGGCAGGCGCACGCCCGAGATCCAGCTGGTTGGCCCCGAACATTTGCGATTTGCGACCCCAAAAATGGGGCCGTTTCGCGGCCCCGAAAACAGGGCTGCGACATGCGCCCGGCCTCATTAAATATATAGTTTGAGCATGAGTTGGAGGCTTGGAACCCCGACCCCAAAAATGGGGCCGCCAAACGGCCCCATTTTGGGGGGTCGCGAATTCTTCTACTTTGAGGCACGTCCGCCTGACTGCTACACAACAAGGCGACTGTGGCACACAGGCGCGCGTCCAGCTTGGAAAAAAACAAGCTTTCAGGATTAAGGCTTCCAAGCCTTGCTTTCTTATGGAAGTACATTAAATCAACATGAAAGAAACGGGCACAGGGGAGGCCCGCTCAAGCGAAGCCAGAATTGCTGGACTTTTCCAGCCCTACATTTGGAGTCGCGAAGCTTGCGATTTTCACCAACAGTGCAAAGCCTCTCGAACCGTCATTTGTGGGGTTTCGAGACAGAAACTGAAGCCTTCCAAAGCCTCCCTCGTGGGTTCGGAGCTTACAATCTTACCGTAGTCTCTGCACTCTTCTGGTCTTGTAGTTCCTGCAGCTTGCAGCTGTCCCTGCTATCTTGTGCTTCACGTTGGTAGATTTCTCGGCTTGCGCGTGTCATCCTTGCGCAGGGGCCATGCTAATCTTCTCTATCTCGTTCCTCAACCTTCGGAAAGCACACGGCAAACGAGAGTGCCTCAACTGCTGAAGCAGCGCGAGCTTCGCGAGAACATGCTTTGATTCATGCATGCTTTCACTGAAGAAGTGTTGACACCGTTTGGGACATGACCTGGACTACAATGCTAAAGGCAGCTCCATGCACAAAAACCGTGCATGGGTCCCGCCTCGCCGTTCATTTAAACTTTTAAAACCTAAACGGGGTGTGGGACCCGGCCCTAGAAAAATGGGACCCGGGTGGACCCAGGTGGGACCCGGATGGGACCCGGTGGGACCCGGTGGGACCCGGATTCGATCTGGCTAGCAAAGTATGGGACATGTGACAACCAGATGAAACTTCTTGTGTGGGAAACATGGGACCCGGTGACACCCGGATAAGACCCGGCGAGCAAAAAAACGGGATTCGGTGACGCAGAAGGTGGGACTTGGATGGGCCCGGTGGGACCCGGTTGGGACTCCTCGCAAAAAGCGGGACCTTGTGACCGCTCAGATGATGTGGCCTCAAAACCACACGTTGATGTGGCTTGAGAACCACACGTTAAGTGGCTTGATGTGGCTTCAAAACCACACGTTTGTGGCTTATGTGGCTTCAAAGCCACACGTTTGTGGCCCGGATGTATTAAAGGGGTCACCAGAAGCCTCGGACCTGAACGAACACGGGGGCTGCCTTTCTTCTTTCTTTACTACAAAGAATTCTAAGCCGGAGCTGGCTCCAAGTCCACTTGCTGGAGCTAGAAAAAGGCTTCAACAAGCTTCGATGATCTTGCAAGCCATTGGCTATTGCTGACTCCATAGAGCCATAGATCTTGGCAATCCTAGACAGGAGCTTCGATGATCGTGTCGCAGCGATGCATCCTAATAAACGTCAAAGATCTTTGCTGTGCGTGCCAAGCCCATGCCACCCGCACCGCCTCTCCGCCCCACCAGGGAAGACCGCATCCGGGGAAAAGGCACAAATGGCAAAGGAGTGCGCCAGCCCGGCAAACAGCCCCGCACCCCCAACTCAAACTCGGCGACAAGACCCTTTGCATCCGCTTTAACAAAGGCAATTGCACGAACAAAAACTGCAAGTTTGAACACAAGTGCATTTAAGCTGGCTTCAGGCCAGCCTTGCGGAAAAAATCACGCAGCGTGCAAAGCCTGAAAAAACCCAGCCCGTCTTGAGACACGCAGGAGATGGCATCCGGGAGCAATCTCTTACCAGCAGCCCGGACCCAGCGCAGCCAGTCGCCTCCTTCGCTTTCATGCGCATCCTGCTCAGCCTCTCCCTGCACCTCGGGCGTTCTAGGTCCCGCAGTCCCTGAGCCCCTACCCCTCAGGTTATTAGGCCATCCTGCCTTGCTCCGCTGGACTCGGCTCGCACGGCTGCCCAACCTTCAGTTCAACATCGCCCCCCTTGCCAGCGAAGCATCCGAGTCGGACGACAGCGACTCTGCCCTCCTGCCTCGGTTGCCCCTGCATGCACTGCAACCGCACGCCACTTGCTTTTTTGGCCGCCAGACCTTTTCCACGCTGCAAAGCAAAATCAACAACTCTCTACACAGGTTTGCCTCGCCGCCTTGCTCTGCAAAATCCAGACGGCCAATGGCATCCTGCAGTCCTAGCCTTAATGCAAGAGGGGTGCCTGGTCCGGTGTTCTTGCAATGCTGTGTATCCTCGGAGATACGAGTTCCTACCCGGCCTCTTTCCACCAAAGCCCAACACTACTTTTCAGCTCCTTATCCGCTGTTCGCTCACGGTGCGCACGGATCGTTGGTTCCGATGCAGAAATATGGCGGGCCCTGCGACTACATGCCGTGGATCCTCTGGTACGGGTAAAGCGGCAAGGCGCCGATCTTGGGCGAGATGCGCAACAAGGTCCTGGTAAGACTGGGCGTGATCAGTGACTGGTACAGCTTCTTGCTGCCAGTGACTTCATCAAGAAGTTGACAGAGCTCTGCTGCTACGGTCTAACACAGCACCGTGCGCAGAAAGAGACACTCAACTTCTCCAGATCGGCCGCTGCACACCATTCTTTGCCCTCAACTGTCTATCGGCAGTCGACGCAATACTTGCGCCAGCAATGCAGTCATACAAGCCTCCGAATCCTCTTTGTGTTCGACTTCGATTGGAGAATTGGCGGTGGACACTCCCACACGGACGGCTGGAACGTGTCGCGGAGCTGCGCACCTGGATCATTCAAAAAGGTCAGGCTTCGATGCTATGAGGAGCAAAAGTCGGTCAGCCTGACACTAGAAAACAGGCGGAT